GGGGCGGGCAACTCTTTCCCTGCTCCTGCCTCTCTGTCCTCCTACCCCTAGTCTGGGTTTGGGGGGCCCTGGACACCCCTCCTCTGTTTGGGTTTTATCCCATCCCCCTATTGCACCCCTCTGGGTATCCCTAGGGAACCCCCTCAGCATCCTGACACCACAGCCGCTTCGAGATGGGAGTTGTGTTATAGGGCAGCTTCCACGATAAATGGCATGCACTTTTGGTTACCTGCTAGCACCCATGGGTCCACAACACAGGGTGGCTGCCCAGTACAGAGAAAGCAATTTTGGGCAATGACACAAGCATCAATTGGTAAGGTGCACTTCCCTGCGTCAAGAGTTCATAAATTATTTATAGAAAGATTGTTTGGAGGCTAGAACAAACCTAAACTTTACTGACATCCTTCTGTGCACATAGAATATGCCATTTCATGACTACCCTGGAGGCACATATTATACCCATTTTATAGATATGAAAACAGAGGTCCAAGGGATAAAGAAATATGCCCAAGGTGAGGTGGTCAGGAACCCAGNAGAAATATGCCCAAGGTGACGTGGTCAGAGACCCACGAAGTGCTGGATTAGAGACCCCCAAAGGAAACCCACTCTTCAGTGGAAACAAATTCTCTTGTTGGGTCTCAGATATGGCAGTGCCCTCTGGGCTGAGGAGCAGGGCCTTCTCTCTAGTGATTCACACTTTAGGCATGGCCCAGATCAACTGCAGAGAGCTGTGTGCTAGCTGAGGAACAGAGACTACTGCCCACCAGAAAGAGGGGTTATTAATAGTGCTGGTGGGGTGGGAGATACACCAGAGAGAGCACAGGAAGGTGAAATCTGTGTGACCTGGATGAGTGACCTCTCTGAGCCTCAGNGGTGGGGTGGGAGGTACACCAGAGAGAGCACAAGAAGGTGAAATCTGTGTGACCTGGATGAGTGACCTCTCTGAGCCTCAGTTTATTCATCTGTCAAAGGGGTATAATATTACCTACTTCCCTGCATGTTTGTGAATAGCAAATCAGATAATGCATGTAACATACCTAAAAACACAATGAAGATATATTCAATTAAAAAATGGGTTTGTGATCTGGGTCAATATGCAACAAGAACCCACAGCAGAAGTTTGGAGAAAGCAAAGTACAGCTTCTTTTGCCAGCCTAAGATGGACCCCAAACAGGCCATGCTGGAGACAGGCTGGGAAGGCTGGGTGGGCCCTGATGGCTGGACAAATCATCATTTATTTTTTCAACAGACAGTTGCAGATCAGCTAAGTAATTGCTCCTGTGTTGCCTGCAGAAGTTACAGCAGAGACCAAAACAGTGACAGTGTACGCCTTTGGAAAGCTACACACACAGTGTCAGGCGGCAAGGGCTGCAGGGGAGTAGAGCTGGGGGAGAGTGGCTCTATAAACAAGGTGACTAGGTATGGCCTCAAGGAGATGATATCCCAGGAATGACCTAGCAAGGTGGAGAGGGAGCCATGTGCATGTGTAGGTGGAGAACCTTCCAGACAGCAAAAAGAGCCAGCCCGAAGGCCTGCATTGGGGGTGTACCCCGAGCACGTGAGCGCGGCTACCATGGCTGAGGCAGAGTGGACAAAGGGGGACGTAACAGAAGGCAACTCAGCAGTTGCAGGGAACCGGATCTTCTAGGCTTTGCAGATACACCTCCCCTCCCCCACCAGGGACTTTGACCTCTATCACTCCCACTGTGATGGGAGTTAACTGAGGGTGCCTGTGGAGCTTTCTCCAATTGTGGGTGTGGGTGTGTGGTGGGGGCGGGGGTGGTCAAGTTGTAAGATCGGGGGCAAGTTCAGGGAACAATGGCCAATGCTGTCTGGCCCACCAGGAGGGCAGGAGTAGAGAAATAGCAGAAGATAAGCCCAGACAGGGAGGCTGGTGGCAGAGAAATGTCCTTAAGAGGCTTTAAGAAGGTGAGAAATTCTGGCTAAATTCTGTAGGCCTTAAGTTGTCTAAGGGGCAGCTGCCCACGGATGGTTGGGTGTGGGCAGATGCTGAGAAGGCATCTTGAGCTCAGCATAGACTCTTAAGAGAGACAAGAACTGAAGCAGGAACAGTGCCCGGGGGAGAGCTTTGGGGTAG